TGGCAGCCATATTAGGTACTGAATATATTTTCAGCAAAGTGGAGGAAACAAGACTGGAATAGATGAGAAGGGAGGCAGCGATACTGGGGGAAATTTAGCAGAAAAACAAAGAGACACAGAGTGATAGCTTAAGGAAAGAGACAGTCAAGGACACGATGCCAGAGTCTATTTTTAGACTCACAAGATAAAGTCAGTGGAAAGAGATTTTTGAGATTGTTACAGCAAATTGATGGTGTTGGAGAGGAGGGGGATGGATGCTGTTTGGGGAAGAGGGTATAGAGGGCAGGGAGAGTGAGTAGATTCCTGGCTTTGTACCTGGCTTGCTCCTGTGATAGGAAACTTGGCTGAGAGGAGCAGAAATCCCATCAAGGATTCAGAAACATGGTGAGGGTTTGGAGAATCAATTACAGCTGGAGGAAAAACAAGCTGACTGGAGGGAAACGAAAACTTTGTCGCACAGTTTGAGGGCCCAGCCAAGAGCATGGATCTGGAGAGCATCCTAAAATGCCTGAGCCCTGCAGACATTTAAATGACTGGGGCAGGTGAGTCCTCTCTGTCTTCCATTGTCTTCTCAAGCAAAGTAGACTTAACTACAGTATTATCTGTTCATGCTGTCATGCCAATCAAATGAACTTGTGCTCATTCAACTGACCTGTAAATTAGGAAATACTACTACTGTTTGAGCAATACCTCTTTGAGTCTGACCACTTAGGTCAAGAGTTTCATTTACATGGGACTGTGCATCCCAGCACTTATAAGCTGTGTATGTAGCTGTCTATGCTTCTCCTTTTATTATAACACCTAGACTTATTCTGTTGGATTTATTCTACTGTTATGCAATTTTATTCTTCATTGACGTCTTAACACTCCCAAACTACTCACTCTACTGCTCCCCTGGCTATATCATACTTTTAGATTTCACTCTTCTTCTCAAACCCCCAAATGACTACATCCTCCACATGGCCCTTCCTTCAGCACATTCAAATAATCCCTGACTACAGAGTGGGCCACAGACTGAAATCACAGTGAAACAGGAAACTGTGAGTTGTCTAGAAACGTCCTTATGGTCTCATGATGCTCCCAGGTGAAAAGGTGGGAGGGTGGATACCTTGGTTTGGATATGTATTCCCCAAAGACTCAGTTATACTAAAAGCTTGGGCAACATGCTTTAACAATATTGGGTAGTGAAGGAACCTTTGGAAGGCAGGGGTAGTGGGAGGAAGTTAGGTTATTGGGTACATGCCCTTGAAGGAGCTATTGGAACCCTGGTCTCTTCCTGTCTTTTCCAGCTTCCATATGGTGAACAGCTTTCATCACACGGCCCCATCATAATGTACTCTTACCATAGGCCACACAGCATCAGGCCATCCGGCTATGTTTCAGAACCTCCAAAATTCTTTTTTCTTCTTGAGTTGATTATTTAGGACATTTCATTACAGTGCTGGCAGGCTGGGTAACACAGAGACACAGAGGGCCTCCCTCATGGTCACCGTGCTATACAGAATCTCGGGTCAGCCAGTGACTGATAGTGTCTGCAAAAGAACCCCTTAAAGTGTAATGTAATCCACTTCTCTGTATTGCAGATAGAAAAGGTATGTTAGAGACAGAGAATGAACTCGAGTCCCCTGCCCCAATTCAGTGTCTTAGCTTCAAAACAAGACTTCTGTTCTCTGATGACCTAAAGCATTTCCCAGTTCTAATCAGCAACTCCAGATGGACTTCCCTGTAATCATCCATCTTACCTTCTTTGGGGATAAACAAGCCTGCTCTTTCTTCCTTTTTTTGGATTGTTGTCTTTTCAACCAATTTATCGAAATCAACCAAGGCTGCTTTGAAACTGTTAATCTGCAGTGCAAGGCTGAACTGCCTGTCATCTCTGGAATCCATACAGACATACAGAACCTCTTATTTCTTCACAGAAATAATGCTGTGAATTTGCAAATGTTGAAAAGCTTCTAGTTCTTCCAGCGCCTCTCTGCCGTCTCAACTTTTGCCCTAGGTCTCATTCCTTCCATTTCAAATTCCCATCCCATGGGAATAAGAAGTAAGTGTTGCCCGTAGGATGTTAGCAGAAGGAAAGCTGAGGCCTGCTGCATTTCAAAGAGACAGGGGTGTTAGAGAGGGGCCCTGACCTCATAATGTCAGCATTTTCCTTCATGTGGACCTCATTACATCACAGTAGCTCTGTAAGTTTCACAGAAGATTGAAATCACCTACTGAAGTGTGTGTGTGTGTGTGTGTGTGTGTGTGTGTGAGAGAGAGAGAGAGAGAGAGAGAGAGGCTGTATATGAGTGTGTGTGTGTCTGTGTGTGTGTGTGTGTGTGTGTGTGTGTG